ATAGTGCACCTTTAAGGAAAAAGGTTGTGAACCACTGATGTATGGTGTATATAGTAAAAGTGTCTCTTGCCGTTCTCCGGTGTATCCGGGGCTGCAGAGACACTGTCCGGTGGATGACATACAGAAGCCGTTGTTGTGACACTGACATTCCTGGGAACAGTTCTGTCCAAATCTCCCCTCTGGACATGGCTGGCCACACACTGTACCCTGCACAACAGGAACATACAAACAGTAAACCGTCATCATCATGTGAGCAGATTTTACACCTCCGATCTTTGTGTGCCTTTAGGTTTTCTAGAAAAAGATTATCTAATTTTCCTAATCACGGATACAACTCCTCTATACTGTATTGTAGTCTATAGTTTCAACTGCTTCTCACAGAGCTCCTATCATATTATGACCCCAAGTTACTGATTTTAGAAGACTTTGACATCTGTTTCCTGTCTTATAGCCTTTTAACTTTATCAAAAATGTTTAAAAAGTTGACCATTGCTTTACTCTCGTCATGCCTTTCTGTCTGCTGGTTCAGCTCATACTGACATGTTATCAGAGTATACTGGCATGTGTGAGGACGCTGTGACTACTTTGAAGATTAAGTTGTCCTACTAGTAGGGACCTGCTAATGTTTATTTCCAGCTCTATATTCTCAGTCAGAGATTCCACTAGAGCAGTTTTGCATGATTCACTCTTCAAGCACATCCTTGTTTATCTAAATACTGAAAATTCATGCAACCCTTTCAGTTCATTGTCTCTTTGGTCACAGCAGCCCGTAATGCGTATGCGTCTGAGACATCCGGGAGCCAAACTGGCTAACTTCCGGTTTAGCCCTCCTTTTACTTAAATGGGGATAAATGCTTTAAACATGCTTAAAAATGTTATTGGACCGAATGGATCAAATTCTGATAGTGATATAAATCATTTCACGGGGATTGTGACACTCAAAAAAATTTATCCACCGCTTTACAGCTGCTTCTTTCACAATGTAAGCTTATTGGAAAACATCTTTTTGGACTAGTGTGCATCCTGTGACGGATGCCATTGCTGTAATTAGAAGAAGAAATACTTTATTGTGACTGTGCTGGACTTGAACCAGTGACCCTCTGGTTCCCAAACCAAGTCCCTACAGACTATGGTTTGGCCACTATGTCAAGTTTGGCACTCTTCCTGGGGGATTGGTCAATACTGTTTCGTCCTCTCGCCGGTGTGCTCTGACAGCATGGTAGCTTCAGTACCTTAGCTTGAAGAAAACAGCAATATGATGCACTGAATTTGATGGATTTACTGTTTATTAGGTCACAGATGAGACAAGAATTACACCACTGTAGTGGAGTATTTCTGTGGGACCCCACTGATGGAAATATAACTTTAGCTACTTGTTGTTAGCGTTTAGCTACTTTAGCCATTAACTTGCTGCTGCTGTTAGCTGGTTAGCAGTGCAGCTAACTTATCCGTCCTATGATGTGACTCTCCCTGGACTGAGAGCTCAGAGCACTGGGGCAGTGTCAGTGTCTAACATTACATCTCTAGTACAACAGCTTTGGACCACCGGGAGCGCCAGTGCCTCGAGCTCCCAGTCCGTTAGCAGCATCTAGTGGTTAGCTAATAGCTACAAGTAAATGTCCACCAGTAAACTCTGTAAATCCCTGAGAGGTAAGGCAGAGAAGCCGCCTGACATCAGAGGAAAATACCTAACTTTACAGGAAGACTTTCTTCAGACAGAAACCAGAAGGGTTAGTCCTGATTCCTGTGCAGAGCACTCAATAGTTTAGACAGACTAAGCGGGTCCCTGTAATTAGTGCCCATGCTTAGTTGTGCTCTGCCTGGAGCAGATAGCCATATAAAGAAATTTTTGACTAGCTGATGTCAGCTAGTCACGTAAAGTAGCTGTTAAATTCTGTAGGCCCTTAGCACCTTATATAATGTACTGTATACATTGTGCCACTTTTAAAATGGTCATTATGAGTATGAATGACAACAGGCCATTCTTCTAAATAGCTCAAACAAACAGTTGGGGATGTGTACCATCCATCCTGCAGGACAGGAGCACTCTCCAGTTACATGGTGACACACTCCTCCATTCTGACATGGACATCTCTCTTCACACTGCTGCCCATGTTTCCCTGGAGGACACAGGTCTTCGCAGCTATGAAGAAATAGAAAACAGCTTCCAGTTAATATTTATCCACTTTCGAAGGTCAAGAAGGTCAAAAATGCAAGTTTACTTTAAAAAACAATTGTAAAACTGGAGAAGTGAGTATGTCACTTTTATTTTTGGTTGCAAATACAATACATTATTATTATTATTATTATTATTATTATTATTATTATTATTATTATTGCACAGTTATCGTGGCTGCAATTGACCTTAAACTTATTCACATCTCAAAAAATAGAAATTCAAAATATCAGGACTTTGACAAGTGCATTTGTCCACATGGATGCAGCCATTGCAGCCCATTTTTCTCTGTGAATTAAGGGTTTATTGCAACCAAATCAGCATTGGTGATTGCTGGAAAAACTGTGGAAAGACTAACAAAGACAAGTTTTAGGCGTGGTGAAATACTGATTTTGTCAATGGACTCTAGTGGCTGTCATCTTGAGGTGCTGGTGCTCTAGAGCAACATCTAGTGGCAGTGAATTTCCTATATATGTAACCTTTAACATTAGTCTACACAGACTATTTAGAGCAGACTATATTCAAATCGCACTCAAAAGTTTTGTGTTGCTTTAAAATAATTTAATAACGATATGGCAATGTTATTCTACCTGGAATATTTGGATTAGAAAGAAGCAGATTCTCACACATCCTATCTTTCGACTTACAAAGCTCCAGTGTATCCCGGTGAGCACTTGCATTCTCCGGTGACATGGTGACAGGTGGCTCCATTCTGGCACTGGCATTTCTGTTGGCATCCGTTACCATAGGTGCCCACCTCACACTGGGCCTCACAGCGCCAGCCTCTATATCCAGGAGTGCAGATACAGGCTCCAGTGATGGGGTTACACAACGCTCCGTTCTGGCACTGACATCTGTTACTGCAGTGGGAACCCCAGTGGTTACTGTCACAAGCTGAGGGAAAGAAAAACTTAGTTAATGAAACAAATCTGTTGAGCCTCTACCACTAGTACCACCAGATGAACAAGACATTACATAAAGATCTTCTTAGAACTGGCCGCTTGTATACCAGTTCAGAATACTGAGCCTTCTAACAAAAGGATCCCATGTTCAGCCTACATTTTACCTTTCACACCAAACCTGAAGACATGTAATGTAATATCCCAATGTAACACAAGATGCAGGGTTGGGGTGAGTCACATTGTTTTCTGCTCTGTTATCATCTAGATAATCATTGGTCCTGTAATTATTCTTTCTCCCCAAGTGACCCATGATGCAAACCTGATGTCAAAGTGGGTCCAGTACAAAGGACAACTATTTTACACTTGTGTAAATCCAAAGGAATTCATCTGTGAATACTGCTTAAACCATATGGCTAGTGTTGCATGTGCTACATTTTATAGTGGCTATACAATAGGTGCCTTTTTTAAGTTACAGTTGTTTCCTTATTGATCACCAATCCCATGAAAAGACCAAAACCAAAAAAACGGAGTCTGCACACAGTCATTTGATCAAGTATTCAGCGTAGTACAATCATACTCATTGAACAGAGGACAACACCTGAAAGAAAATTTTTTAAACAGTTTCTGATCTTGAGGAAAATCCATAAATTTGTCTTTCACTTGAACTGGTGCGACTTTTCTCCGGCATAAGCCATACGTCAGTTGCTCACCTCAAACTCATCTAAAATGCTACTGCAAGGGTTTTAACAGGAGATTTGATCACATCCCATTCTTGCCTCTTTGGAATGGCTCCCTGTGGCTCAAGACAACTTTCAAGGCTTCACATGATCAAGTGAAGTCTAGTTACATATAATAATCTTTTCTGAACAAAGGTCCAGCCAGAACCAAAGAGATTTGACAGTCATTAATCTTGCTAGGCAACTGGATTTGTGAGAAATCTCAAGATCATGCAAGAATCCATCTTGCCAGTCTTTCAGTTTTGCACTTGTGTCCAAACCACAGTGGTTTAAACCAGACTCGGGAACTTTGTGGAGCCACTGGCAGCTACAGCATTACCTATGTGTGGGGTTATTAAAGATGCTGTTAACATCAGTTCTATCAGAACTGGAGAGCATTTTTTTTTATTAAAAGAAGAGCAAAGAACATCACTAAATGCTTTTCTCAATAGAAAAAATGTTTCCTCTCTTCTCCCGACTGACCTCAGTAAGAGTTGGACTATGTTACATGGGTTCATTGATCTGATTATTTAAAGTTCACTGTGGGGGTGGCGATAGACACATGGTACAGATGAAACTCCCTGACATTTTCCAAACACTTTCCAGGGATGACTTCCCAGTTGATTCTGTGTAACAAACAATCTAGCGCAATCAGGTTAGTGTGCTACCACATCGTCAATTTAAGTAACCCGTTTGAACAAACTTTTGAGGCTGAAACCAAAGCCTGCCCCTCATCATTGACAGGAAAACCATCTGAATCTACAAGCAGCCTGAGACTCGATTACTGTGTGGCCAGGAGGACTAAGACCTGAACCCACCTCATTAACCTTTGGCTGCTGCATTTCAGCCTTAATCAGACCACACCTCATACACATGAGCGAGGTCTGCCATGTATCTGGCCTTCCCATCACAACTTGCAATGGAAAATTACCCATGTGTAGCCACAGTAAACTGGTAAACTTCAGAATGTGTTGGACCGCATGTTTATTCTAGATGTCTTTCATCTTGAAGAGAACACATCAGGATGCCACTGCCCTCTCAGGGCCTAGCAATGACTAGGGGCAAAATGGGAGGGAGTCAGAAAGGTTTACAATGACTGCCAGACCTTTCATTATAGGACCCTACGTCATGGTGGTCTAAATTAAGTTCAGGGGAAAGTGAGATTTTTAACTAGGAAAAAGACAGAAATTAAAGATTCAGACAAGGACACCTACTCTGTGTATATTACTGTAGCATTGTAACTGTTTGGCAGGTCATTAGCCATTAAAGGAACATTCCAGTTTATTAAATCATAGGTTTATTTCATAGTTTTGTCCAACATTTGTATTGGCTGTGATTATATGTATGACTGTAACCAAAGTAACTGACTGATTTCTTTCATGGCACCAAAAGAAATCTTGGTGCATCCTTGTGTTATGGTTAATGGAGTGCACTTATATAGCGGCTTTCTAGTCTTCTGACCACTCAAAGTGCTTTTTACTACATGTCACATTCACCCATTCACACATAATAATTTATCGTCTTTAAAAAGGCTAATAAAAAGCTAAATCACTGTCAGACAATAGCCGATGGATCCCGAGATCCCTTTCGGCTAGTGTGTTTTGCCACTGCCCTCCACTCGGACTGTTTAACCTGCAGGCAACCAAAACAAAAGCTCAGTTGTGATTGGTCAATACTCTGCCTACAAACAGAAATGCTTCCAATACTGAAATCTTGGTCACTTGACTTCAGATTATGCACATACATGTCAATAGAGATGGAGCTTCACAGGGTGTTGCAAGGCCTTCTTGAAACTTTTTTAAAAACAGTATATCTCATCTATATCTCAGCATTTCAGTCCTTACAGTGAATAAAACTAAATTAAATTATTTTAAAGTTTTGATTATTAGTTAAGATCTAAACTCTGAAGAGCTGAACATAAGCTATATTATGTATAGGTATATCACAGAGCCTTCACTCTCTGATAAACAGCCTCATCCTTTTTTAGAAAAGAACAATGACAACAAAACACTGAATTTGTCAAAAAAGAAGCCTATTGAGTGTGTATGATGGTTAAAAATTCTGAAAATACAGACAGATAATTGAAGAAGAAGATCCTAAATGTATCAGGAAAACCGCAAGCAATATTGACGGGAAGTAATATGCTCATAATTCTTCTTTAAACAAACTGTGGTTCATTGTACAGTTCATCAGTTGTTCTGTACTCTTATTCTTATGCATTAAATATAATATGAAATATCTATAAAATGTCACTTAGCTAGTTTACTCAGTGATAGAAAAGGCCTCCTTTAAGGAAAAAGGTTGGTTAACACTAAAGCAATTTGAAAATGGTCAAAATATGTACATGGAAAATATGAAACAAAGGACACATATGAATAAGATAAAATGAAAAGATACTTTGTAACTCAATATTGCACAGGAAAATTGAGGCCTCCAAGCTAGTTCAGGCAGTCTACTGCTGCACTTACTGCAGCGTATATCCAACGCACCTTTTTATCATGGTGGTGTACTGAGGTCATCAGTGCTCTGTTTACTCATTTGCTTGCCAAGCCCTTAGCTTGAATAGACTACTGTTTCCAAGATCAAGAATAAATTACACTCTCAACAAACTTCTCATTCATGCTGATGTTGTTAATTTTGGTTTTGCACGACAAATAAACTGAGAAATATGATTTGAGAAACTGTTTCCCATCTGTTCTGTGGGATTCTGCAGGCTGTGACTGACCTCTGCAGCTGATTGTGGTTTTACTGCTCTGATTAGAATACACACATGGCAGGAGCAGTCAGCAAGCTGGTTATGGCACATGCTGTATGGCCTCCTCAGCATCACTAGTTGTTTCCAGCCAGCAATCTTGGTTGCATGTCATACCCCGCTATCTCCCCTGTTTCCTGTCTGCCTCTGTTGTCCAATAAAAGCAAAAAAAATCTTCATAAGAAATATACACATTGCAGCTGCAGTAAAACTAAGTGACTGCAGTGATGGTGTCCCAGTGGTTTATGGTGAGAGTTTCTCTGTGGTGGAGTGCAGAAAACAGATGCACTGTCAGCTGCAGAGAGGATGTAGAAAATATAAAACCAATCAAAGTCTTCTTAACCTGCTCTCAAAGTTATAATAAATCATGTTTTTGTTGGACTGCTACTGAAATTAAAGAAATACATAAGACATATGGCAATAGAAATACTTAAATTATCTAACTAAATTGAGAAGAAAAACAATAATGGGGATATTCAAATCTTTACAATAAAGAATCATTTAAGTTAATCAAGTTCAGTTATTTAGTTAGTTAATTCTTAAAGGACATGGTCACACGTATGTAAAATTAACATTGGCAAATACTTGTTTAATTCCATTCTATGCGAGCGAACGAGCGAATAAAACCTTTGCTTCTAGTGGCAAAGCAGATTCATATCTCCACTTGGGCAGATCTAGAGAGACTTTCATGTGGTGGCAAGAGGGTGGCATGGAGACTTTAAACAGTGGCAGAAATATAAGTGCATTTCATCACAAACAATATATAAATATTTGCTTGAAAAACATTACATCATTGTCAGCATTTAACACCAAACTTGCGGTGGCCAGCTGCCACCTCATGCCACCCCTGTAGATCTACCCCTGTTTGCTTGGAGTTCAACAGTGGTAGCTGGTAAAGTTGCGACTAAAGTAACAAATATGTGTGTGTGGTTGACCACTACAACCCCTACAAATAAACCAGCAAACTGATTTCTGTATGCAGTAAATTCTGCACTGCCCACATTTCGCATCAGAAAGAGATGGTCACTCACCAAATTGGCCTATGTGTGACTGTACCCTAAGGAATAACATGGCTTTTGCTGGATTTACCTGCAAGAGGGCCAAAAAATTAGTTGTGGAGCCCTTCAAGTAAATAAATTAAACAAAAATGCATTTTGTAATATGCTTTGGCTTGGCGTCTTGAAGCTTTGAGACCCGAAGAATTAGTATATGACCTGCGAATGAGACTCAACAATCAACTCTCTTTCTCTGCACTGATTGGTTGTTTTCATTCAGGCCCGGTCGATTCTTGCAAAATACTATTAGGAGGTACTAGGAGAAGCCAGAGGAACCAATTATTTTTTTTTTTTTTAACAGATTATCAGTCTCATGGACTACTGTCAGGATATAGTAAAAGTTTCAGCAAATATGACAAAAAGTGATTTCTATAAAAGTTACCTATTGCAGCTTTAAGTTTAGATTGTTTGCTCAAACTTTTAATTATTTTTTTATTATTTAGGTTTTGGTGAGTTACATTACTGGCCA